TAAAACAGAAATGAGTATACTGCCTCAAAAATCGTAGAATAATAGTAATTTACTCCTCGGCGAGAGATTTAAGGAAAAAAAAAAAAATAAAAGAAAAAAAATAAATAAATAAATAGAAGTAAAAAAAAAAAATCGAATCGAGATATGGTCGAAATGAAACGTGGAAACGGACTAATGGAATAAAAATAAATAAACACTAGCAATTAAAATGCTAAAATAAAATGAAATGAACTGAAATGAAAATGAATGAGAAATAAATTGAAATAAATTTAAAAAAAGGTAATATAACAACAACAACAACAACAACAACAACAAAATATAATATATTGACATAGGAAAGTAAAGAAGAAAATAAAATATAAAATATAAAAATAAACATTAGGAGAAAGATAATAAGAAATAAGAAACAGAATATACAAAAGTATATAAAATGGCTTCCTCCTTTGGTTCTAATTAAGATATGTACATAAGCTTTATTCTCTATGTAAATATATGTGCCTATTATTTATGTTTCCTTTTTTTATCTTAATTTTGTTTTCGCACTCTCGGCACGAATAACGATAGGTATAGAGGAAAGAAAGAGAGAAAAAGATAGAAAGGAAGAGAAAGAGAAAGAGAAGAAGAAATCGATAAAATGGCCGATAGAAAAAGATAAATTTATGTGACCTCATTAGAAGCAACCCTTATGTCGATAAAGTTCGGCTTTAATTAGTGTAACAACGTATTAAGCTTATTACAATTTTTTGATTAATGTTTGGAAATATCTGATTTCTTAACTTGGACTTTTATGAAAGAGAAGAAAAAAATGAAAATAAAAAGGAAAAAATAAAAATTATCCTCTTGAAGAATTATAAAAAATTAAACTTAAATGAGAAAAAGAAAAAAAAGAAACAAAAAGAAGAAAATGAAAGAAGGATGAAGTGAAACGAAAAGAAAAAAAGAAAAAAAAAAAAGAAAAAAAAACTAAAGAAATAAAATATAAGAAAGAAAAATAATATATAAAATAATGGAATTAATTTGAAATAACGAAGAAAATTAATAGACGACAACGCTTAAGAGCATACAAACACGCAACAAAACCTGTATGAAAATATTATATACACACATATATATACGTATATAAAATTTGTAAAAGGTTACTCTAATGTGATGATGCGTGCATAAGAAAAAAAAAAAAAAAAAAGAAGATTTTACACGATAATGAATTCAAACAAAAATTATCTCACAAAAGTAGAGACGAAGAAGAAGAATATTCTCGCGCGAAGTTTCATAAAAGGTACAACGAATTTCTCTTTAGGTGGGTTAATTATT